ACTACTACTACTACTCCTGCTACTCCTACTCCTACTCCTACTCCTACTCCTACTCCTACTCCTACTCCTACTCCTACTCCTACTCCTACTCCTACTACTACTACTACTACTACTACTACTACTACGAGTGATAATAAGAAACAAGAAGAACAGTAGTTATCATCATTATCATCGACCAATGCTTTTACCTGGTCGACCGCAGTCGCTACTAGCGTTTGTCCGCCCAGCTCTTGTTCGGTGTTTGAAGAGGCAAGGGGCTACAATTAGTGTTCTGAATTACAGGCGAAGCGTCTCAGATACGTAGCTAAGGGCCTTCCGATGCTGCGGTGGTCTGGGGGAATGTCTGCGCTTCTTGTTGGATCCAGAAACCGTGCAAGTCAGTCAACGGAATTCTGCTCAAGCCACATACCGGTAAGCTATACGTGTATTGACACTGTTACACGCTCGAGAGCGTATAAGCTTTGGGGTAATAAAGACACGTCCATGACTCTGGCAGGCTACACTGCAAGGGCCGAGTGCCTGAAGGGCTCGAACACTTTTGCTACCTTTGAGAGGAAGCTGAGCTGTGCGCAGCAGCCCTGAGCAGTTCGATTCCAGCACCGATCCGGTTGACCATCAAATGGGATATGCATTAGCAAAAGGGGCTTCCCACTCATCAGCCGCCAGTGAGCTCTTGTCTCATATGCCCTCGATGGAAACATGATTCCAATATGGCGCCCAGCGGAATCGGCTGCGGTTACAGCCGCAGCAGATGCTGGTGTAACAGATCGTATGGGTCTTCTGTAGTCCCGCCGCTGAGACGCCTTCGGAGTCTGAGTCCAGCCAGAGACTGCCATTTGCCAAAGCTATAAACTGACAGCAGGAGAAGGAAGGATGAAGGCTCAACATACTTGTGTCTCTAGGCATTGTGAAGTTTGAGATGTAATCAACTGGGTCCTCACCGGTTAAGTCAATCAAATGGAACACCGGGAACACACCGAATCCGGGCAGGGAGCCGTCAAGCTGCTGCCAATGCCCAAAGTCATGAATGGGGCCTCGTCTCAGCAGCAAAGTTGGAGACGAGAAGATGCTCAGATACGTGCCCACGAGAACCGACTGATCACCGCCAGAAATGTCGCTTGGCTCCGCCCGAGCTATCAGTCCAGGGGACTTCCCGTGAGGCAACCATGTGAACCAAAAGTTACACCCAAAGACTTTGTCAGTCTCATTCATCATACCAAGAGGACAAGTTCCCTCTTGCCATGGAACGCTACCGTGCGAAAGGTCGTGGCCCTCCGTCATATAGCCCAGTGCAGCCTTCCGCCCTTCACAGCACACTGTTTGAAGAGCTTTCTCTGCAGCGTGAAAGGTCTCCGGGAACAGGAGGCATTTTTCAACCTTCTCACGCTTCCTGCCAAATCCCTGGATTGCCGCTGTGCAGTTGCTCTGAAGTACTTCACGCGACGACATCGACAGCTTGGCCGCCTCTTCAATTCGCAAGTGCGCTGCGCTTTTCCGATACTGTCGCACCTGACTTGCAGCTTCTTCCAGGAGCAGCAACATCGGCGTTGAGTCGAAGTCGTGTCCCAGCCAGGTCTCTTGCACAAGCTGGAACTGAAGAAGGCAGACCCGAGCCAGTAGTACTTCAGAATACACCGATGCTGCATGTGGAGTCTGTGACCAGCCTGTCCCGTGAACCCTCATGGGTTTCATAGCAGACTCCAGGCTCTGATGTACTGCTTTCTCTACGAAAGCACTATAAACCAAGTCTTCATATTGCTTTGCTGCGGCCACTGCAAAGTGCACGACACGATCAAACTCGCCCTGCTTCACCCAGACATCTGCCTCGTAATACTCTCCCAGCTTGGTCATATACTCCTGGCATGTGCTGATGATCCTCTTCATCTCACGCCTTTGGAACCATTCGTTGCTGTGCAGGGTATAGATATCCGCATCGATCTCATCTATGCCTCTTTGGATCTGATCAAACTGGGAATGCAGCTTTTCGAAATGGATGTCCATGAGCTGAACAGCCGTATCGAGCAAGTTCTGGGCTTCTGTCTGCGGTGAGAAGCCCAAAGCAGATCCCAAAGAGGCAGCCGCGCCGATTACGGAGTCGATGGGGTGGCCTACCAGTTCAGAGGACTCGGCGAAGAATTTCAACAGCCCTGCGACCTCAGAGTTCGACTTCTTTCCGGACCTTTCTGCGCCAAGCTTATGCACGATCTCTACGGACTTTGCGGCCTTCTTCGCTTCCGGCAGTCTGGGTAGCTCCAAGTCGGCAAGCACCATAGGCGCCGGGTTCGATGGAGCAGCGTTCCAGATTGTCAGTAGAAAGAGAAAGCAGCCGCAGAGCAACACCACTACTTGAGATCCTCGAAGTATCGTGTCCGAGTAGCTCCGCCGCTGCTGCAAAAGGGGACTGCAGCTGTCCTCAAATTCAGGCAAATGAGCCCCACTTCCGAAACACGGTGGCATCTGAGCCCCTTGGTTATGGGTACTTGCCGCGTCCCCAGACCGTAAACACACGTAAGCATTCTCTGCACCTAGAAACACGTCACGAGGGCTGCCACTCTTGAGCCTTCAAGAGTCGGGACATCTACCTGCTATGTGGTTCACACCCGTCCGAATGTGTTACAGAGCCCCTATTGAATCGAACGCCTCCTAGAATCCAAACCCTAGACCCTAAATCCCGAAGCCTCTGAGAAACCCTGAACTCAAAATCCTCTTTGAAACCCTAAACCTCCTAGAAACCAACCAGCAAGAGCCGCAGCGTACCTGCCGAGTCACCTCGACGTAAGATCCTCCGCCTGCGTCACCTTCGCTTCGTAGGGTTTTTCTGTTCAGGGTTTGGAAACGGGTTCTTGTAGTGTTTCCCTGGGGCGCCAGTTACTTAAACAGTAGCTTCCTAACCATATATACACCCCAGTGACCCATCAATTAAGCAACAGGAGCCCTAGGGTTCTTTTGCCCAAGGGTTTGCGTGCGTATTTGTCGAAGCCTTGAGGGGCTTAGGGTTTCAGAGTTTAAGATTCGGTTCTTTAGCGTGGTAGGGTTGAGGGATTGAGGGGCGTAGGGTTTTTAGGCTTTTCGATGGTAAGTATGGTCGAAGGCTTTAGAAGTTTAGGCTTTGAGGGTCTCGCGAAGGAGACGGTGAAAAGAAGGAACATTTAGTACCTGGTGAAGATGTGAAAAACTAGCCTTATGGGGCCACTGACGTTCCGACACGAACATGACATGACCATCGACCTACAATACAACTGCATCTCCAGCAACTTAGCATTCCCAATGTGAAGCAAGTGCTGCCAAACGGCCAACATGTTGAGCTCCTTGATGCCTTTGTCATTCTCCTGGAAGACGCGTAGGCGTGTGGTCAAGGCTAATGGACGCATACCGTACCTTAACCAGCATAACCCACTGCGGCGCCTCATTATAGTTAAACTTCTATGCAGGAAGCACAGGGACCCTGCAAGAAGTAGGTCATGCTCGGTGAGGAGTCACTAAACATCTAATGCAGAGTGGGCGTGCATAGTGCTTTCGGTTGTGCGGCTAATGCATCTAAACCCGCGAATCGTGCAACAACTACAGGTTACAATGCCGCCGGAAACCATAAAGCCTTAACAAACCTTGACCCAAACACAGAACAGAATCTTTCCCAGGGTCAAGGCCTAAACTTCCGACCCCAATGCCCGATAGGTCACCACTACAATTAACTTACGTCAGTGATCTCCAGAACCCCATCCCTTGCAGACACAAGCCCTTAGCCTAGCAGATCCACTATATCAACTTATATCTAAGCCCAAAACCAGAGTCCTCGAGGAGGGCTTTCGTCGCACCTGTACCAGAAATCAGTGCTCTGCTAGATACGCGGCTTTAGGCTCTGGCAAAACGGGTTTGGGGGGTTGCGGGCTTGGAGTTCAGGTGTGTAGAGCGCGCGGCGGGTGCGCTTCTTTAGGAATGTTGCGCGCTTGCGTCAGCATGTCGCCCCGCCCCAACATGCCCCAACCACCTCAACTTTTCTCAATTAATAAGGGTTTACGGATCACCCACCAAAATCTCCCTCAAGGGGACGGGGCTTTCTTGTTCTCTGCTTCCTTTCTCACCTGACCACATTTCATAGCAACCCACAGCTGACATGGATTGGTGTTGGGTCCTCGCGGCCTGTGCCGGCCGCTCGATGGTCGCTCGAAGCATCTACCCCTGAGAGGTTTGAGGGTTAGACGGCTAGAGTCTAGAGCAGGTACACACAAAGAAGGGTGGGGTTCCCTGGCATCGGCAACGGCACTAAGATTTTGGCCTGCTGACAAAATAGAGAATTGGCGAAGGCCTTGGAGGTACTTTCCAGAGCCACCAAAAATAAATTAGGCGATCCATGATGAGGGGTTTGGGGGCCTTTTTTACTGCCTGACGGCAGAGAGGTCATTCGCGGGGCGTCGTCACTGCAGTCCTGGTACACAGGGAGGCTTTACCCTCCCTCACCGTTCTGGCAAGACGCTCGGCCGGGGGCCTCGGCTAGAGCCTCGAGCGCCCATGTACATGGTCAGCGGTGCTCTCGACAGTTTAGGGTTTAGTGGGTGTGGGGTTTAATGTTTAGGGTTTTTCAGGCTGTCAAGATTTAAAGGTTCGAAAATGGAGACATTACGATGTCTAGAGTCTAGGCTGCCGGTTAGCAACGCCCCAAGCCCTAAAACCCAAACTTTGACCGTATGAGACTGAAACCGTCAAGGCACGCGTGGAGATGAGACTTGGTTAGCTCGGAAGGAGCATCACGGATTGAGGCGTCTGGAAATGCTATCAGAGGTTTATACGAGCTTGTGTATTCAGGGTTTTTCGTTTAGGGTTTCGGGTGTGTTTAGGGGTTTGAGGTTGCGGCATTTCGGGCCGTAAGCCTCTAGCACTCAATGTTCAGTCTGTGCGGACAGAAAATGAAAGCAAACGGACAGCGTAGACCTGAACCCTCAAGCATTTCATTACCCTAAACCCTAAACCCCAAACCCTAAACCCTTAAAGGAACCCTTAAAGGAACCCAGAATTCAGAGCTAGAGCCACCGATCCTTCGACCCGACACCTGATCTCTCAATCCAAGGTCTGACCCCAAGACTCTAGACCCTAAATTGCGAAATCCCACAATCCTACTGCTGAATATATATATATATATATACATATGTATACATATATATATACATATATATATATATATATCCTGCATTCCCTGTAGGACACACTATGGGATTTATGGTAATTCCTTATTATGGGTAATGCAGGATTTTTCTCCTCAACCGTAGAGCCCCTTGGCCTTCGCTCTGGCTGGTGGTGTTCGAGGCATTAGAGTCGCTCGGTGGCACCTAGCAGTGCTAGGCAGATTCCGAAGCTACGATTGAGGACTTAAGGCACAGTGCTACCAGAGTCGTAGCAGCAGTGGTAGTAGTAGCAGCAGCAGCAGCAGCCGTAGTCGTCGTCGTCGTCGCTGTAGAGCTTGTCGTAGCTACTTCGTAGTACTAGTCGCAGTCGTAATCATACTACTAGCAGTATGCGGACGAGGAGGCGGAGGACGCATATACGTGCATAAAGATAAGCCACTTCACATTGCAGCTGCCAGTACTTAGTCTTGCTATCAGAACTGTTGCTTCCTACGATTCGGCTTATTGACAGCTTCATGGTAAGTTTATATGATTACTCTTCGACATTCGACCGGAAGCCCCGCCGCATGCCTGGTCTCTGATCAGCTCCTCTACGCCTCACAGCACGGGACATCAAGCTTGTAGTAGAAGAGTAGACGTGAAAGCTGAGCAACGTGATGTTGACTAGCCACGACAATATGCGGGTTTCCGACAATAGGGGACCCTAATATAGTACCCTAAATAGTAGGATCCTGATTATAAGGACCCCAAATTCGGAAACTCCCATATAGACGTGGAATCATGTGCAGGCTTGCCCGGGTCTGAAGGACAATGATGCTCACATCCAGAACATCTGGGATGCATGGCCCATGGCAATGCACCAGCTGGGCAAATGGAGCAACAAAATGGCTCTTCTACGAAATCCCCGGCCCACGAAAGGCCGCTCCAAAATCAGTTATCAATTTCGATTTTAATGTTTAAGGTTCCGCGCTTCCGGAAATCTGCACAAGACAGGCAGGGCCTCGCGTTTGGTTTTGGAGGTGGCTGACCATGTCCTCCGCCAGCGCAGCCTCCTAGCAAAGGCTTGAGACTGAAACAGTCTGAGTCTCCCACAGACCCTACCTGGATCCTAAAGAACGTACCTTTTAAGGGCTCCTTGCTATGATTTCTTCGAAAAAGTCCTGAGGTAGGTTCTTCAGGGTCCAGGTGGGCACTGAACCCAAAGACCCTGTCTCTTTTTGATGCCATCCGACTTCGGGAGTTGGCGAAATGCAGAGCCCAGAGAGCCCAATACCCCTTAATTAAGGAATACACCTTAAATTATTGGGGCCTTATTATTATGATTTAAGGTATATTCCTTAATTAAGGGGTATTGGGCTCTGTGGGAGACTGGAACCGGAGGCTTCTTGGGGCATCTTTGAAGGGAAAAAGGTGCTGGGATTCCAATCACAACTTCATGTAGGGGCCTTAATAATTAGAATAGGGCTTTGGGCTCTTATAGTGTTGTTATAATAAGGAACACTAACAGTAATGTTGGTAA